TATCGAGAATGGAGACTACAAAAAGACAGACTTACTTCTTACATCCATTCTATTGGATATGCGTTCAGTACAATCGTTGCCAAGCGCTTGGACTATTCAAGTGAATTTCTTCATATTATGCAAGTTAACATACACCAGCAAACAATTTCACCCCAATTTCCCCTCCTCTCCAGAGCCCCCTGAATGCAATTGAACATGCAAAAAAGGGTCTCCAAAAACTTTGATCAAAGGATGCAATTGAACATACTATCATAGTACAAAACTTTACAAAAAAGGTCTCCCAAAAACTTTGATCAAGGGATGAAAGGGGGCTAGGAAGGACATTATTTTGTGAATGTAACTGAGCGGACAATTTATTCTGTAGTCCAAGGTATTTTGGCAACGATTGCAGCTATTCTAAAACTGTTAAACAGTTGTATGAAATACATTTTATTTACACTAATACACCTAATTGCAAAAACGTTGTCACACTAAAAATAAAGCAATGTCAGCCGAGATAAGACCGAGAGGGAGTATGGGAATCCAAATAATTGTTGCAATGTGTGTTTCAGTGTTGTTTGAGTACCCAAAATCCTCTTCGGTACTTGAACAGTTCAATGATGTCAACTTTTGAACCTGACGTTTTTTAATAGGTGTATTTATACAAGAACTTTAACTTTCTCAACTAATTAAAGTAGCAACTGATTAATGTTAAAGTTTTCCTTCCCTGGAGAGTTCTTTTTTTCTTTTCTCGCTGGCAACCAGTTTTGACGTACAGCGGGCTGGGACATAAGAGCAGATATATTTCTCCCAGGAACCCATCGACTCTTCATAATAGAGTAGTTGAATGGAGGGCATTATGCTGTGAAAGTTGCTTACCGAAACTGGATGTTCCGGAAACAAATAGTTGCCTAAGAACGAGATTGAATATAGCATTTCAAAGCTACAAAAATCAAATACTAGAAGAGTTTAAGTCAAGACATAATGCTGTGATATTTGCCGACGAAAATTGCTTTTGATGTTCCAATAATAAAATTCCCCGTATATTAGCGACGAAAAAGAATCACACACAACAAAAACGCGCAGTTATGATCCCAAGTCTAAAATTTGAAGTAACTTTACCTTGAAGACATGTTGACTTCCTACCCCACATCGTTACTTGAATATTTTTCGGTGCACATTAAGACGATGCACGAGCCTCACAAAAATGTTGTTGTCTTTCCGTGGATTTCTTATTTTTCGCCTATAACGTTTGAGATCTAGACGCTTTGAATGGAGGTTACTCAAATGTATGAGTGGCTAATGTTGGATGGTTGTTATCATATACACGTTCGTCAATAGCGAGTGCTCTTTCAATGAATTTCTTGGCTTCCTCGTACTGTCTGAGATCTTGTAGCACCAAACCGAGGTTATTTAAATGATTTGCTAATGTTGGATGGTTGTCATCATAAACACGTTCGGCAATAGCGAGTGCTCTTTCAATGCATTTCTTGGCTTCCTCGTACTGTCTGAGATCTTGTAGCACCAAACCGAGGTTATTTAAATG